CCAATACTCGACGAAAGGAGCCCTGAAGGCGTCAGCGATCGCTTACCAGTGCCTGAGCCAGAACCCCAAGTCTCGACCGAAGATGTCAGCCGTGGTCGAGGCCTTGGAGCCTTTACTGAGCCTCGAGGATGAAACTGTGACCTTCGTTTATAACGTGATGGAAAATGAGGAGAAGGAGGAGGAGGAGGAGGACGGCGGCGGCGGACGGAGGAGGAAGTTGTCTAGAAAAGTATCCGCGACGAAGGAGTTGCGGTGCAAATAAAGAATTTGGATTTTGATTTTGATTTTGATTTTTTTTTTTTTTTTGGGATATGTACGTAATTAGGGTGTGTGTGTTTTTTTTCTTCCATAGTGTTTGATGAAGTGAAAAATTGTGAATTGGGTTTAATTAGGTGGCTAGTAAATAAAAAAAAATGAAAAAAAACCCAATCTTCAACCTTAGAAGCGTAACCGAGTCGAAGAAATGTTGTGTACTTGGCAATTCTTGCCATACTATTTGAGTTATGTCCACCTCTATCGTTCAATGATTGAGAGTTGAGATGTTTGTTTTCTCACAGTGCAAGTCTCTCTCTCTTTTGCAGTACTAATTAATTAAGCATATTGGAAGCTTATCGAATAAGACTTACAAAACTTCTAGCCTCATTTCTGTCTTTCTTTTTTATGTTTTGGGTCTATGTGTTGTGTTACGTGGTTTGTATTGATGTTTTCTTCTCTTCTTAATTAGACAATCTCTGCTCATCCTTTTGGGAAGGTGACGACAATGTCCGCTCCTTATCGTTTTCAGCAACTCTGGTTCTGCCTTCTTCTTTTCTTTTGTATTTTTGATTTTGTCCTGTTTGTTCGGTTATAAGTACATATATCATGAGCAGGGTATCTCACCCTGTTTGGCTGTTTCAAAAAAAAAAAAAAAAAGACTTACAAAAATAGCGGATAAGATGATCAGTTCCTTCAAAAAAACATCAACATGCCACCCATTTGACCAGTTCGTATTCAAAATAAAATTGTGCAGTTAGAGCTCAGGGAACGTTGACAATTAACCACAATGAACAAAAACCAATTGGCTGAGCAGCACAAGAAACGCTACCTTTATCTATATACTGAGCGCAAGGATGAAAGAATACATAAAAAAAACAGAACATAACAAATTTCTACAAATTAATAAATAAAGATGAGCCCATGAACATCTTCAATCTCCATGACATGGACTAAATCAAGCTGACCATATTTTTTTTGGTTGGTTAATTGGCTCTCATCAACACCTTGTGGACTCCCCATATATATTATCAAGAACTGCAATAACACCAATGACAAAGGCCTGATCATAACCTGGCTGTACATTAACATGGTAGAGATCTTCACTTGCTTTCACCTTCACCCCCACCTGTTTCAAATTAAATGAAAAAAAAAATTAGAAAAAACTAAAAAAAAAATCGCAAACTGTGTTCCCTCGACGATCAGATTTACCTTAGCCACTATGTTCCCTCGACGATCATTGATGGTACAATTCTTCTCAAGAAAACACCCCTTCACCTCAAAATCCCAACCATTGCTATAATCTTTTCTGTCTACAGAAATCCTTATGGCACTCTTCATCGCAAAGCACGACTTCGGATCTCTCAAGCTAAACAAGGGCTTGTTTGGTCTGCCAAACTCCATGAGATACCCCCTCCATCGCTCGCTGCAGGCGCTCAAAGCTTGGACCAGGCCTCCCTTTTTACGAATGAAGAGTATCGATGCCCCACCGCCGTCTTTTACTACCAACTCTCCGTTGACACCAAGGATTCCGCAACCGTGGACCGAGAAAACAACGTTTTGCTGAGGATTCAGGACGACGAACCCGCCTCCGTTGACGACCCTGGGCCTCTTCCTTATGGTTAGTGCAGTTTGTGTAGGTGCACAAAAGGCCTTGCTAACTATCGGAATGAGACTCATTGTTCCTATGACTGCATATAGAATCGAAGACACCAATAATTAACTTGTACGTATTGAAAGAGTGGAATTTATAGAGTGCATGTGGACGATTCATATTTCATGTTGCTAATGATTCTAGTGTTGTGAAAGTTTTGGCTTGTACACAAGGTACGTAGGTGAGGTTGCCTAATAAAGTTTGATAGTGTTGGAATTGATCGCTTATGTGAGGGAATATTTCTAGCTTACTTGCTAGTAGATGAAGCTCAAGGAAATGAGCATCTTTGAATGAGAGGTTGCTTTTGGGTAATGAATTGCTTTGTGTGTAAATTATTAGGGAGCTTAATTAGTGCTCCTCATCAGCCATAGTTATTATGTGCACATGTAATTTTTATAGTCGACGAGATAGAATATCATCACAAGTTAGTTTGCTCTCTTGGGGGCTTTAATTTGATTCCTTCATCCAGCTTCTAACCCTTGAAATACGTACAAGTTTAATCAATACACCATCTTCATCAATTTCCTTTTTCATTATACACTTTCAAAATTTTCAATCCTCCGAGTTGCTTCGATATATCTATACATTCCCCTATAGTTGTATATTGTGCTGAAAACACAATTAACGAATCCACTCTAAATGAGTCAGCAAGTTTGGCAAAGGGTTAAGGAGGAGGGGTTAAAGAGAATGATTAATGTACTTAGCTCATTCGACAATTTGAAGGACTAAATTGTTAACCCGTTAAATAAGTTTTATTTTAGCCCATGTGATCAGTTTTTAGTGTTTGGGAATAACAGTGATTTTGACTATTTTCTTTATAATTAGAAGGGTTAACTCTTAATCCTTCTAAATAGGAGTATTAGTAAACCCTTCATTTTGAGAGGTTAACTTATTTTAATCTCGCTAGAGGGGTTAGCTTAACCCTTCTATATTTTTTATGTTTGGCAAATTATGGAATGTTAATTCATTTTAACCATTGTATAGATTTTTTTGTGTTTGGGAAGTTAAGTCTCCTTAACCCCTCACTTATAACCCTTTGCCAAACGATACCTATTTGTTAATGAGGACTCCATTTATCAAGTGTTGAGAGGGTAAAAAAATCTAGGTAGGTAAATAATAATTTAACCTACCACTAGTCACACTACAAGCATAAAAAGATGAGCTTTGCTATAGGGACCCAAAATATGGGACCAATAGAGGGGACAAGTGATGTGTCCCCCTCCTATAGGAGGGGGACACATCACTTGTCTCCTCTATTGGTCCCATATTTTGGGTCCTTGAGGAATTTTTCTAAAAAAATAGCATATAGCTTTTCCTTTTTAAGTTAAAGATTCACCGTAGAAGGTGATAATACGAAAACAACAAAGCCCGTCCTTAAAAATATATGAAAGGTCATTAGGACAACTATAATCTAGGTTAAACATATTTTATTTATCCCTGACAAAATAATGATTATACCTCGTGCTAATAAAATGGGCGAGCTAATCAATTGGTGTGAGAATCCAAGAACAACCCAGTCCTAGGGGTTAGAAGCAAAGCACTCGCTTAATATTCAATTAACCCAATAATTAAAGCTAATTAATCAGGTGATTAAGTAATGAATCCTACTATTACCCATTAGAATCCACCAACCCTTCGCACACGAATCTCTCGCCGCCCGAAGGCACGCTCGCCTATGCGCACACGTGGGGTCAGCTTGTCCGGTTCCAGCCACGTGGGGGACCCACCAGGTGACGAAAGTTCTGGGTGGCGATTGGGTGCACGGAAACAGTTTCCCGAGTTAACCAAACAGATTGAGGCCGACACGTCAGCTCGACGCTTTTCGCCGTTCAACCGCTGATTGACAGGTCAGAGGCGGGCCGTGACACCTGTCTCGCCTGCGGGTCCCACGAGATTCCCTAACGTTTCTTCTCTTCCGGCGTTGCCCTTGCGGTGGCTTCCACATTCCGCCGTCCACCGACTCCCGAAGGAATCTCAGCCGTCGAATCGGGCCCCCGCGGGTTGTGGTAAATGGGCAAATAAAGTAGATCGCTTGGGGCTTTTATGGTACAGCTCAACTGATCACGTCACTGTTCAGGTCACGTGCAGTGCGCATTCCGGCGCGCCATCCCACGCCAGGATCAAACAGCTGTGTTGACTACAACAGCAAACGCTGGCCGTGGCAACGTGTCGCGGGAAGGAACAAGGATGCACACGCAAAGAAAACCTTGGACGAAATATTTCCTCCCGAGTCCTTATGCGAAATCATATTTTAAAAAAATCATGATATAGAACGCAATTTTAAGGTCACTAAATCTATACAGATACAATAACGATGGATATGCCGATACAACTAATTATACCGGTATCATGTACTTATTTATAGTTTTTTGGTACTCGGATGTTGTTGTCTCGAGTATGTTTTCCTAAGAACACCATGCATGCAAGGAAATATCGTCAACCCATCATGATGAGTGTAGAATGTAGTTTAAACATTTGAGCAAAGCAGGCTACCTAGAAAGGGAGTCTGGATTTTATTAATACATGTGCAATGGAGAGTCTTGATGGCATTCGTAGGAACATGAGGGTGATTTGGGAATTTTAACTTTCCCGTCTATCGTTCAGGGTGTTAATTTTTATTGATAAAATACGGTAGTAGTTCTCTTGCTTGAGAAACCTGTTTGCTGTTCTATTGCGTACAGCGGATCATAACCTCTCCCTATTATTCTAAGTGCTAAAAAGATTTTCTGCGTGAGATCTCAAACAGTGGCTGCTGTTGCGTCCTCAGAGTTTGAAACTTTTCCCTTATTCCCATTTTGCCCTCCTCTCTGTCGCCACCGCTATAAACATTGTCGGCGAGCGGAGATGGCGGGAAGAAGATCTCCGCTCTCGTGGCAGGACTCTGGCGGTGGGATTAAATCCGTCCCCTCCGCTCTCTCAGCCGTTCTGCATCGGCAATGCGCCTCGGCTGAGGCCGTGCCCGAAGATCACCGCCGACGAGGCGGAGCAAGGTGCCGGCGGAGGCTCAGATCTCGGACCGCGAGGTCGGGTTTCTCAAGGTAAAAAAAACCTTTTTCATCCTTTTAACTCGCGCGGTGGAGATGAAAGAAATTACTTTTTTTTTTACAGTTTTAGTAGCGAATAGTAAGTTAATTACATGACTGAGAGTGGTGATTAGTTCTATAATAACCATGCGATTAGTTATTCATAGTTTTAATCGATGTATGTGATGAGACTCTTGCTGTGGTTTTTTTTCTTAGTGCGAGAAACCTTGATTTAGTACCAGCCAAGTAAATCTCGGGGCCTCGGGCTTCATTCCACGGTCCAGACTCAGACTAATAATACAATTATTGTAATGCCTTCTATTCAAAATTAGGGGTAGACATGTTATAGATACGGATCGACTCTTGTTCTTTTGGGCTGAGGCCCCGAGTCCCAATCACTTGGACCATTTGCGCGTGTCATCCTTGCGCGGTGGCCATGCTAACCTTCGATGTGCAGTTCCACTTTTTCGGATGTCACCCGAAGAGATAACATTGTGGTTTACTATAGTAACAATGTACATTACATTACGGTAACTAATATTTTTTATTTATTACAAATTAGTACCTATAGGCCCCGTTTGGCAAAGGGTTAATGAAGAGGGGTTAAAGAGAAGGATTAATGTACTTAGCCCATTTGATAATCCGAATAACTAAATTATTAACCCGTTAAATAAGTTTTATTTTAGCCCTTATGATCAGTTTTAGTGTTTGGGAATAACAATGATTTTGACTATTTTCTTTATAATTAGAAGAGTTAACTCTTATTCCATCTAAATAGGAGTATTAGTAAACCCCTTATTTTAAGGGGTTAACTCATTTTAACCCTTCTAGAGGGGTTAACTTAACCCTTCTATATTTTTTATGTTTGGTAAATTATGGAGGGTTAACTCACTTTAACCCTTATATAGATTTGTTGTGTTTGGAAGGTTAAAAAGGGGTTAAGTCTCCTTAACCCCTCACTTAACCCTTTGCCAAACGGTACCATATAGAACAATTAAATCTCTACGAAGAAAGTGGTTTTATTTGTTTTCTATATTTATGGAGTACACCAAATGCAGAAGAGAACTGATGGACAATTTCAATGTGAACAGGAGGAGTTACAATCACTTGAAGGACTTCCACCTGTTCATAGATGTTGCAAAGAGTATGTCTCCGCAATCTCACGGTTGGCCTTGTGGAGTATTTCTGATTATGTGATTTGTTATTATAGTAGGATTTGGATCCTCTCCACTACAAAAAAAGTAGTGGAGGGATCACTACTTTTAATCTCAATCGTTGGTTATTTAGTAGGCGGTTATGATATAATCTAAATCTAACACTTATCATAACCCCGTGTATTGCACTCATTCCTAATTTGCACAAAAAAAAAATCATAACCATCAACTAGATAATCAATGGCTTTGATTATGTAGTGGTCCCTCCACTACTTGTACAGTCGGATGTTTGTTAATATTTCTGGATGCATTGTGATGCTTGACAGGGTCCACGAGTTTGTCGGGTCAAACCCGGATCCACTAATACCACCGTATGATTCTGAGACTTTACGCCTTGTTTTTCGACATTCTCATGGTTTGTGAATATATATATCTTACATCTTCTTCTTCTTCTTCTTCTTCTTTTGTGGGTTAATCAGAAACAAGAAGAAACAGAAGTCTTGTAGAATGTGGGAGCGGCTTCGGTATTTTTTTCTGACCTTTTCACACTCATTATACAATGACAGTCACTACGGGGTAGTTCAGTTTATATCTTTGAAAATGCATAAAAACCTCATCTACACATTCCCTGAAAAATATACAACACTTTATACCATTTGCATCTGTCGACAATCTTACATTAGATTTTCTTGCAAATACGGTATAGAAGAACTCAGAGCATCTTCAACAATTTCACCATAATTTCTCTAAAATGGGGAAGCAAAAATGCCAAATTCTCTAAAAAAAAATTTGCTCCAAATCCCGCAGCTTCCCCATTTTAGGGATTTAGGCATTTGTTACAACTATAAAACATCCTACATACTCAATAATTATTAACAAAATAAATGTTTGATATTTTATTATAACAATATAAAACTCAATAAAGTATTAGATATATATTTTTTCTTCTTTGGAGATTGTGAGATATTTATGATAATGTTACTTTCAAGAATTTGGACAAGGAAGAATTTTTGCAGAATGCTACAGATCTGGAGAAAGACCCTCTTTTTTTCTTCTCCATCCCCATTTTAGAGAATGTGATGGAAAAACTGTTGGACCTAAAAATAGCTCTATATTCCCCAAAATTGAGTATTTTAAGAAGATGGGGAAGCTGTTGGAGATGCTCTCAACGGTGCCAACTGCAGTTATCTCGTGTGTACTAGGATGGTAACCTTGTCTAGAACAGCTAGGATAAAACCTAAAATCCAGTTGTTTTATTATTACAGTCTGATTGCAAATTAAATCCATTTTATTCATGAAACTCTCATGATATCCAACTATGATGAGGTATATTTAAGTGTTGGATTCCATCTTTATTGCGGTCATCATTTTTTTTTTTTTTTGATGAGCAGTCATCGTATTGAGATTGATCATTGAGATATATTGTTGATCATGTCAGTCCAATATCTTTGATTTAGTATTTCAATTTCATAAAAGACACTTCCATATTATCCTAGGCATCCCATATGCCACCAAACAACACTGAAGCTAGACAACTGCTGATCTAACTGTTGCAAGACATGATGATTGAATAAAATTTCTCCATTCCGTGTAAATAAAATGCATTAATATGGCAAATAACAACAAAATGGCCAAAGGAAATTCTTTGCATGACGCCAATATTTTTAATGTAGAAAACCTTTCAATTAAAGGTAAAAACCATGAGACTTAATTAGTCCAGAAAAAAATCTTCCACTATAAAAATAATGGATGCACAATGTTTCATCCCTAGACGCTTGACAAGGGGAACACGAGCAAAGCGGCAAGGGAAGAAAATAGAACTTTTTCTACACTGACAAGGAACACGATGGTGAAAATACTCTCACTCTCTTTTTCTCTCTCTCTTTTCTCTCTCCCTAACTCAAATACTCTGTGATTTGAGTTCTTGTTGCTCTTCTGCTTGTTCATCTCATCCAGAGAACTCAAGGCTATTTATACTCTAAAACTCAGAAATATGAAAGGGGTCCTTCCCATAGAAAATGGTAAGCTATGCATCTAGCTCACAAATTTGACCATGGAATTTCTCGATATTCTTTATCTTTATTCTGAACATTCACATGACACCAACCCACACATAATCATGTATGGTCTACTCCTTATAGGAGGAACCCCAACATTCTTCCTCTCCCGACTATTTGGAGAGGTCCATGCTTGCTAGCTTTGCAAAGAAATGTAGATGAAGCGATTTCTCTAGGAATCGGGTTTGAAGTAGGATGAGTACATTGTGCACTTTGAAAATCCGAGCGCTATCAATCTTAGGAAGAATAATATGCATCATTCTCGGAAGAAGCACATAGACGTGAGATATCATTGTTTACGATATGCAACAGAAGAGAAGCAAATGCTACTGCAGAAGATTCATACCAACAGAAATCATGCCGATATGATGACAAAAACCATTTCTAGGGATAAGTTTGACCTCCGTGCAAAGCTACAGAGAAAAATCTCTCCAAATTTTTGAAAATGAGAGAATTTTGGGGTCCCTCCAATTGGAGGGAGTATACCACACATGATTTCTAGGGATAAGTTTGACCTCCGTGCAAAGTCATCTTTTCTTCCCTAGTATTGTTGTTGTACCTCTAACCAAATGTCTAAAGACGAAACATTGTTTGTGTACCCATTATTTTCATAGTAAATATTCTCTCTAAGCTAGGTCCCTTGGTTTTTACCTTCAGCTGAAGGATTTTCCACGTTAAAGATACCAGTGTCCTGTTGAGAATTTCTTTTGGTCATTCCATTGTTTTTGCCCTTATTAATCCAGTTTATTCAATCATTCCGTTTTCACCTATACTGACAACATATATAGGTCGAGATGGATTCTTAATCCATAATCATGCACAAACTAAAGAAGATAAATTTGGTTTTGCATGCTCAATCAACAGTAACCAGCTATTTAACTCCCTTTTCCAAGAAGGGTTTATTATAAATACGCACCAAACAGATCCAATTGATATAGAACATGTTGGGTTGCGTGAACAAAGATGGACTCAAGTCTCATCTGGTGTACCTGAACTGAATGGACGTAGGTAAACATGTAGGGACACTTCAAATCCTTAAAGCTACACACAACGGCTGATATCAAGTGAAATCTAACTTGTTTTTTCATTTACCAGAACCAACCTATGCTGCAATTTTTCATGGATGTGCTGCTCATGTACCTGCTCTCTTCAGCTGCAAACCCTCTGCTGCCCCAACCGTCGCAACAATCCAAATCCAGGAACCTGCTGCTGCTGCAGTTGCAGGGGAATTTCATGTTGCAGGCCGACGCAATGTCTCCGGCCGGGCTCATCTTGCCCAGGCTGTTCTTGCGGCTGTGCCTGCTCTTGTTGCCCTGATTGTATTGAAGTGCGACTCCGTCCAAAATGTTGTACTGAAACTTGTCGTAGCGAACAATGCCTTTGTTAATTTAGAAATGTCCTCTCTTAATTCATTGTTATGTAGACTTTGTTACGTTGTTTCTTATTAATTGACTTTGTTACATTGCTTCTTATTAGCACGGCCTGTTGGGATTGTGTCTTTGATTCTTTGTATAACTTCATGAGAATTAGATAGGGTTAGAGATCTATCATGATTAGGAGATTGGGTCTTATCACGATTAGGAGTTTGAATCCTATTTTAATGAGGAAGTTAGGCTAGACATAGAGTTTTGGTTTCCCGATATACATTCTTCTATTGTTAGAGGAATTAAACCAAGCAGATGAGAGAGAGCTAATATTCTTGTAATCTAGGGTTAGCAGAGGACGTAACCTGATTCAAGTATATTGTGCGAGAGGCGAGGGTTTCGTAGTCTTTGTCCGCACAAAAGATTACATCATTGGGAGATGGTTTCGCAGTCTTTGTCTGTTCAAAAGATTGTAAGGAGTGAGTTTTGGAGATAATATGAGAGTTGATTATGTATGTGAGGTTGGGAGATTGAGAGTTGAGTGGTTCATCTTGTAGTTCTCCCTCATACATAGTGGATTTGTCGTATTGTTGCCCGTGGACGTAGGTCGAAGTTGGTCAACTGGACCACGTAAATCTCGGTGTTCTTTCTTCTTGATTGTGGTCATTTTCTATCTTGCTGATTGTGGGTTGGCTTCCCAGTTTCGCAAATCGTAGTAGGCGGGGAGACTAAAATTTCCCAACCCGACCAGGCGATTTTAGGTAACAAAGAGCTTTGCTACAGTTTAAATTGGTAAGGATATGGTAAAGTGAACTCCTGATTAATATTAGCATTAATTTCTAAGGTGGGAAAAAATATCACAACTTTGATTTTTCAAACACCAAGGGACGACGACAACAACAACATGCATTACAAGGGAGAAGAGCTTTTTACAATTTGAAGCTAGCCCATGAAATTTAAACAGTTCAAAGCCTAAAACTACTGATATAGTCATATATATATTGATGGTATACACAGTTAGAAGAGGGTAAAGAGGAGAAGGGGGGAAACCTTACACTGAATTCTAATCCAAAACTGAGCTCCCGTCGATTAGGCAGTTGTTGGTCCAAAGACCGTCTAATCTTTTGATCAGTATACTTAGCAGATTAGAGCATTTCTCGATCTTTTGGTCATTACTCTCTAATTTTTTTATCGTGTTCCGATTCAAGGGTAGACAGACAGACAGTTGCTGAGTATGATATGTTAGATAACTCCCTGGGCTCAGCCCTCAAATTCTAGTCGCCGCTCGTGAATTAACCGCCCTCGGCGAATCCGAACTCCGCCTTAAGATCTGCCTAACTGCAGCGATGAAGTGCTCCGCCATTTCGACCACCGACGGAGCACCAGACACAGTGAACCTTCTGCAGAAGCTGACGTGGCGGTCGACCGCCTCCTCCGTCGAGATCAGCATCTTCGACCTGCAGATCTCGTCGTTGACCGCCTCGCAGCCAGCCCGCAGATCAACGGCCGTCGTACCTCCTGCTCACGGCGCGCGATGTAGGCCAGCGTGTACTCCGTCAGTCCGCAGCAGTGGCACGTGGCGGACTCTGATTCGTGCTCATCTGCCGAGTCGGAATCAGGCGATGGGAGTGGAATCGAATCGGCGACGGTTATTAAAGCCGCCATGGATCTCAGCCAAACCCTAGCTTCCTCTAGACCTAAACAAACCATTAGGAATCAGCAAATTCAAGAGTTAGCTTAAAAATTTCACAGAAGAACGCTTATTTATCCAAGAAACTTCCAAAATCGACGGAGATCACAAAAAAGAATTTTTTTTTTATAAAAAAAATGTAGAATTTATAGGATTCATCGGATTGACCTTTTATGATCGAGGTATTCCAAATTGAGGGCACAGAGAATACGAATTACAAAGAAAACTAGATCGAAGTCGAGATTTCGTGGAGAAAACTAGAGAGAAAATTGCCGCACCGGTTACTTATCGGGTTCGGATCTAATTGGATCCGCTAGCCTTCGACGACGATCTGGACCTCAACCTCCCCTTTCTTCTTCCGCCGGCGCGAGGAGAGACCAGCGGTTCCCGATCAGACGCATCTCAAGATCCGGGTTCCGTTATCGGATTTAAAAATCGTTTCGGATCCGAACCCGATATTCGCGGGGAATATTCGAGGTTTTCTCTCAGATTTCATTTTCTTCTCTTCCTCCTTCCCGTCTCTTGGCGGGAGAGGGAGCGAGGGTTTTAATAGGCCGCCTTCAGAGGAGGAGATGATTGGGGTCACCGGAGTGGGGCCCAGGGGAGGGTGGGGGAGCTGGTGACACGTCAGATTCCTGAGCTGGATCGGGTGCTTAATTAAAGGGTCGACGGGTCGCTCTCGAATCTTCAACTTGCTGATAAGGGAGAACAATAACAATAAGTTAAAGGCGCACTCACGATGTATTTATAGGAGTTGCTTTCGTAATTAATTAAGCGTATTAGTTGTGCACTGTAGTTGTTGTGGTAGTCGTCATGTACATTTGTAACCGTAGGCGTATAAAAATACCTATAGGTTCCTACACATAGCTCGAGACGAAATACAGACGATAAGCGTCATCATTCAAGTCAGGAAATGATTATCCAGCCCCGTGGAAGCTAATGAATATACAAAGTGAGTCATTATAGTGCATAAGTCAACGGAATGACGAAATGCGCAATACAAGTCCGGAGAAGTCAGAAAGTGTCAAACACCTCAAAGTGATCCGCACAAAGAATTAACATTTTGACCATGATACAATTTGAATCTGGAAAAATTCAAAAGACAAAAGTTGAAGGTCTCTTCGTCAGCTTTGGATCCGCGCTACAGTGACCGCAGGGGGATGGATCCGCGCTACAGTGACCGCAGGGGGATGGATCCGCGCTACAGTGACCGCAGGGGGATGGATCCGCGCTACAGTGACCGCAGGGGGATGGATCCGCGCTACAGTGACCGCAGGGGGATGGATCCGCGCTACAGTGACCGCAGGGGGATGGATCCGCGCTACAGTGACCGCAGGGGGATGGATCCGCGCTACAGTGACCGCAGGGGGATGGATCCGCGCTACAGTGACCGCAGGGGGATGGATCCGCGCTACAGTGACCGCAGGGGGATGGATCCGCGCTACAGTGACCGCAGGGGGATGGATCCGCGCTACAGTGACCGCAGGGGGATGGATCCGCGCTACAGTGACCGCAGGGGGATGGATCCGCGCTACAGTGACCGCAGGGGGATGGATCCGCGCTACAGTGACCGCAGGGGGATGGATCCGCGCTACAGTACGCGGGACAGATCCGTCTGTCACGCTGTTTTGATCCCCGGACGCATTTTTGACGGTTTTGAGCGGTTTTCTCAGGATTTATCTATTCCAGGGGTTCCCAACTGACTTGATATCATCCACAAACATGGTTAGGCCGTTATTGACTGAAGATATGGCCAAATCACTCATTCTTATCCGAAAAACCCCCAACCGAAGCCTATAAATACAGGGGCGGATTATTATCAAGAGGGGCAAGGTGCTGCAGAATCGAGGAGTCAGGGGAGCACGAATTTCAGAGGAAGCTAGCTGATCTCGGTGAAGTTCTTCAGCATAAAGAGGAAGAGTTCGAGAGATCCGAAGCCCCGCACGTCCGTTCCTTGAGATTAGGCTTTGTCTTAATCTCGAGAAGAGCTGCTGATTTCGCTTGGTCGATTTCAGCGCTTCAAGCAAATACCCCCTTGGTGAGGTAGGAGCTCCGTCAATTTTTCGTCAACCGGATCCGATCCGCGGTCGTCCACGGATAAACCCCGACACAAGCAAAGATCCAACCAAAGCAGCGGGTAATAAACGTCTGTTGTGCTATTTGACAAGAATTGTAATCTTTTGTATTTTCATTGTATAAAGGAGATCTTATAAAAAAGATCGACTTTTTCTTTTATTTTGGATTTATTGTAACGACTGAAGTTGTAATAGATTCGATGACAATGAAAACAGCGACTTTTGAGCCAAACAGTAACCATACTTGATTGAATTAATTTTAAAACTTCACAATTTAAAGCTATGATGATCTTCACCAAAAAAAAAAAAAGCTATGATGATTCCTTTTATCTTCGGGTTTAATATATATTTCTAGCATCGTGTTAAGATTTAACATTGTTGAAGTCGCAACTTGAACTTCATTCGCAAATCCAAGAAACAGCAATTGACGAAAGTTGAAGCTTATGTGACGGCAATCACAATAGCAAGAGTGGTGTTAGGGGCACACCCCAAACCACACCTCCAACCACACCCCCTCTCTCATTCGCTACAGTACTCCGGACCCCACATGAGTTTTTAAAATTTAAAAACTCATGTGGGGCCCGGAGTACTGTAGCGAATGAGAGGGGAGGTGTGGTTGGATGTGTGGTTTGGGGTGTGCCCCTAACACCACTCAATTTTATAAGGACTTACTTGTGGAAGAGTGTGACGCTGGAAATTTCTCAAATTTGATGAGCGTATTATGTATGTGTGTTGTGATTACACTAATTATGATTACATTGCTTTCATCAATAGACAGACGGCTGTACTAATATATCAGGTCTCACCCCCTCCTTCCATGATATTCTGCAGAAGATCAATTAATGTATGCAATTTCTCGCAATTATGGTTGGAGCAAAATGGGGCCATGGCCAGCTGTCAAATAGCTGCTGGCTCCAGCTGGAAGCTTATTACAGTAGGAAAAGACCAACCATGATTTGGTGTAAAATACCACCCCAAACTAATTTTTCTACACAAATTGGTCAAAAAAAAAAAAAAAAAAAAAATGGCGTATAATCTGTATGTTGACGACATTAACAAGTTTTCTATGCACACACACACAGAGTCCAATTTTTTACGCTTTGCTGACGTACTCTGCATTTCTAAGGAAACAGCCGAGAAGCGACTCGAATGAATAATTGTGTGTAGAATAATACCTTTAATTTGAAAGATTGGAACATTCAATAGGCTAGCCGCTAGATGCAAAAGAAAGATCAATAGGAATCTTGACATTTTATTTGAAAACTATCTAATATATGACAATGGGCCAATGGCTATGTAAAAATTATTTTTATTGGCATCACACTATGTAA